GTGACAACCCAACCAATGAAAGCGAGTCCGAAACTCGCCTGAAATCATTTGTGTTTTGACACAGCCACCATGCCAGGTCTTACGAGAGATCAGAGGAACCAAGACATGGATTGCAAGTTGTCCAGACTGCACGGAGGGTAGCCAATCATTTAATGTTCATGTTAGGACAGCAGGAGTGGTATCAGGTCACTAACAGCATTCAAGACTGTCCACACAGTGGGCGACCTTCAGTAACATCGCAACGTCAAGACTGAAAGATTGTGTGCCACCATCTGCAGGATCGCTTCCCCAGAGCGACGGAAACAGCACGCCATACTATTGGGCTAACAACAGACCCATCAGTGCCGATACAGTGCGTCGACGTTTGCGCGGAAGAAACCTCTGCTGTCACAGACACTATCGTAGTCTTGTCTTTTATCAATGTCCATGGTGGGCACACATGATACTGAATTTGGGGTATCTTACTGGTACCATTGTTGGTGACTTTGTTTGTGTTAACTCTAAGTGTGATTCACGAAAATGTGTTAACCATACTTGTCAGGTTGTCAACTCAGTCCTCAGTTTTTATTGCTAATTAGAGTGGATTAAAGTGTGTACTTTAAGAAACCCCTATCAGCGCGACATTTGTTTCGTGGTTCAGTATATATATAACACGAATTATCCCGTTTTGTGCTGGGTGAAGGGAGCCAATATTGAACACACTCTCTTGCCTAGTATCACATGTGGTTCGTTGCAGGGAATGAATGAATTCACAGATACTCTCAGGAGTCAAGCTGCTAAACACGGTCACGCGCCCAACCCTTTTTACTTTAACTGAATTTTGACCTGAGCTCTTTTCACAGGACAACACAACACCACAACTTATGCTGTAGTAGCGTTTACATTGTGTTGAATTCCAACCGTTGAGTCCGGTTTAAATTGGACTAGGATAATTAGGGTACCAGGGTACCAGTGATCTGTGGAAAGAAAGATTCAACATATTCCAACTTTTGGAAGGGGATTGTACCTCATCGACTCAATCCAACACAATCCAGTGATTGGAAGCATGAGCCCCGACCTTGCAACTCGGATGCCATTGTTATGTAGCAATGTTATTTATTGTGTAAGACTTCCGGCGAGCTGGTTACTGCATACCTAACTGTATTGCACTGTAGTTTTAGACGACTGAAACTTCATTTTATATGTGAATGAATGTCAATTTCAACGATGAGTAGAGATTCTAATTGGTCTGAAATACACAGTTTGCAAGGTGTGACTTAATTAGAAATACAACTGACCAAGTGTGTTGCCGAAGCACGTGTAGGCATAGCGTATATGGAAGCCAGATGTACTTTGCAATCATGACGTACATATACCATAGTAATCGTTCTATTCAGCCAATTGGAACACATGAAATACAATGAGCACACGCGGAAATGTATCACAAGTACATATAGCAATAACATAAATAATATTTTACATACTTATTCAATCAACGTTCCGCAATAAAACAGTAAAATGTATTTTTAGATACCGTTGAAATGTATCTGAATTTGTTATAATGTTTCCTTACCAGTCCAATAGCTCTGTCAGGCATATATTTTCCAGACATGTCTAGGTGAAGATTCAGAGGTCGGTGTGCCTGTAAACAAACATTGTAGTAATAAACACGAGTGATATAAAACCGTTGTGGTTGAGTGTTCTTCTCTTCCAGCCTACACTGTCAGTATGACACAATTTTAATGCGGATACAGGCGGGGACACACCAATATTCAACCCTATTAGTAGCTACATACGAAGTCGTATTGTTTCATTCAGTTGCTCAGAGTATATAACGAAAGCGGAAACCTGCCATTGGGTTCGTCATTTAGATATGAACAGATAATGTCATTTAAACAACCATAATCAACCACCCATATAACTTCAGCAATGTTTTGAAAAGAGGATTGCATTTTGGCAAAACTGCATTTTAACACTTACCTCTTCGTGTAGTCTGACACCAATATAAGAGATGCAATGTAGATGCAGCAGTACCGATGTTTGCAATGGAGTTCACGTCTTTGATGCTGCTGTACAGGCAGAAACATACAATGAGGAAGGAGCTGACGTAGCCAGCAGCGATGTGTCTGGACATGAGAGTACATGAGAGTACATGTTCAACCAGGTCTGTTAAGGATGCACGATAACCTCGAATGTCCTCAATATCTTCTTCTTTGACGGACCCTTCAGAAGCCCTAGACAGTCTCAGCGTGCAGTTATCATACTCATAAGTAAGAAGGAGAGAGAGATGGACAAGAACAGAAGCACCAACGAATTGTTCAGCACGAGTCAAGAAGTACCTGGACGTGTCACTTGTCATGATCATGCTTGCAATTGCCACACATCCGACTCCGAGAAGAGCCCAATGCACACACATGCTATCTTCACCTTATGCTTCAGTCTCGTTTCTACAACACAACTGTTAAACTGCAAGCGTATTTCGCGAAGACGTCTGTAGAATATGTGATCCTTGCTGAGACTGTTGGTACTGAGACTGTTGGTACTGAGACTCCAATAGGTTAAATATACAACAGTTACAATGTGACAAGGGAAGATACGATTTGCATCTTTGAAAGATTCAAGGTGAGGTGAGGTGAAATTGGGTTTTACGTCGTGCTTGAGAATATTTCGCTCATATGACGACGTGCATGTGTATGTGCGTCTGCTTGTACTAGCCCAGACTTAAGCTGTTTTTATAGCACTGAGATACCATTCCGCAGTGAAGCATGAATCCCCACTCAGACACATTATACCGAGCCGACCAGTCCTTGTTGTACCCATTAATGCCGAGCGCCAGGCAGGGACCAACAAGTACCTTATTTTAACGTTTTTTTGGTATGAGGCGGTCGGGGATCGAACCCGCGACCTTCTGCTCTCCGGGCGGACGCTCTAACCACTACACCACGGAGGCGGTCGAAAGATTCAAGACTTGAAAGACATGCATAATATAGTATCATGTGTATAAAGTTAAATGTGTAAAATATGCCCAGCATACTTATCCTGGAAACTACCATTAGGTGCCATTTTGCTGATAGCCCCATGATAACCCGAGCAATGTTGTCAATCTTTGGAAACCTGTCAATGTTCCCTGCACAACACCGGTACCATCTGTACATGTAGTTACATTATTTTTAAAATCTTTGACCTTATCAACAGATTGGATCATAAATACATGTTGTATTCTCTGTGCAAGTTGCATGTTATTATTCTATTCTCAACTCGAAGTCACCTGTATTCAGGGTGCATCATTTAATTCAGAAGACAGCTCAATACGACGAGATGTAAAACATACACAAACATAACAACATAAACATAAAAATACACAGACCTACTAATGACATTGCATGTTACTGGCTGAACAGTAAAACGTCCTTCGTAAAAAATATGTGATTGAGTGAGTGAGCAAGTTAAAATTTATAGTTACCTCGGCAATATGTCAGCCATTTCTTGACTAAAACAGGTAACACGTTTTGACTAAAACAGGTGACAAGTTAACCATAGTTAATATTACAGTATAATTATATCTTTCGACAAAGGACAGTAAAACAACTAGAATATCAATATCTGAAATATGAAACTAGTCTTTAGTTTATATACCTATTTGGGACCATACAATATGAAAAACGGACTATAGACTGTCAACAACTAATGGTAGAGCATCATACTAGGGACCATGGGGTCTTACAGTACATTTGCTGCCTGCATGAACCGAAGCTGGATTTACATCATCCCTTATAATAACGTGGGAAAGTCCAAAATGAAATATCCTGTCACAAAGTGCAATGAAGTATACAGATGTATATAATGTACAATTTCAAATTCCTCGGGCATAATATTAGACCGGTGGGCATGTTATAACCACCATCCTAATATAGACTAGTGGAACAAAATGTTCGCAGGACTCTTTTCTTGTTATAAGTAGCAACAATAGAGGGTACGGGTTAGGGAATTTTCGTCCTACATGGATATTTTTGCAAAAGTGAAATCATGCCCGTCAATACAAACATGTAAGGTGAGGGCATTAGGGAAAAAACTGTGCAACTATATAGAGCAATGATCCTCTCTAAAGGGCTCAATCATCAATGTCAGAGCCTGTAAAGGCAATTTAAAGTTATTACCGTTACCCGAGACTTTGCGTTGGAGTATTTAACACTTCTACGATTCATAGTTCAAATATGGAATCTGTTGTGCAGGACCTTCCATGAAACAACGTTATGTGGCGCACTGCGTAATCTATACAGCACATATCTATATTACGTTCTATTCAATAAAGTCCAGCTTATGAGTGTGAGGAACTCGACAAGATGTACAGGGTGGTTCTAACATTAACTAAATTAGAGAATCTGAAAGAAATCATCGTATTTATCAACAAGAATATTATGAATTAAGAAACACAGATCATACCATCACATCTATATGCACAGCTGGACCTAAGGATGGTAATGCATTTGCCAATGCCACCGTCATTGGATCTTGGTCTCTGACATCAAGATTATCAGATAACTGTTCCAGTGATCTCGGTACTGGCCAACATGACATCTTTTGTTGTTTGTCCCGTCATGTTCACATCGTTGGTAACACAGATAAACCAGCAATAAAACACTCTGTGACACCACTTGTTATCTCATTCGGTGATATAAATGAGAAATTGAATACGTCCAACTCAATATCCTTCTAGAAAATATTTTAAATGCTGGTAAACCGTAGCACATGTGTATATAGTATTGTTTTGGATAGGCACTCATTACAGCTTAGACACAAGCTTTAAATATTTATCTGTGATAGTCCAGTTCTTTCACTGTTCTTTGTCGACAGGTTTTATAGTCTAAACATATTATTAATGTATACTTGTTTCAGTCACGATTCGGTTGAAACGGACGATGTGACAAGAAATGACAGTCTCTCACTGAATAAAGAACGGCTCAAGTATTAGTCAGTCCCACTATATTGCCGTTGCGTTTCCAGTTGGTCGACATCCCTTACTTGATTCCGGTTTAAACTGGATCACAATGAAAACGTAGGTGAGGAGGGTACCGATGATCTGTTCAAACAATGAAGCAAAAGTTACTGATGTATTGTAGGGCTACAGACAAGCCTGTTTCAGCGAGTCTGGCCGGTTCCCCCCGAAGCAACGCAATTGGAGGATAAATACGAACATAAGAGAAGCTAAATGTGGATATAATGTCATATATTTACTGGACAAAAGAACTGTTTTACACTACAACCTGGAAAATACCATTGTGGATAAATGCGTGTTGAGTTATATGCATTCAACATACCGTTAAGATAGTGTCCTTCGTGATGGTCATGAGTCCTGAGGCACTGATTCCGATCTGACGTTGAGACAACTTGTTGGTGAACAGAGGGACCTAGATGTACAGATCGTAAGATAAATATTCAACTGACAACAGGCAAGGTAAACATTTCTCCACAATGTATCACATGTGCTTGTGGGGCACGACGGAAGCATTCATATTCATATCATAATCATTTGTGTATAAATATTTTGACCCTTAGGGCGCACCATAAATTGATTTTAGATATGCACGTGATTCGATCAAAGGCGAGCATTTTAAACTATTCCATAAAATTGCAAATCAGTTGATTTCGTTCTTAATATGCAAAGTTATTGGTACGGCATGTCAATAAGACCTATTGCAAGAGATGCTGTTTATCATTCATCGACTACTGACCGTTGGCCAGAAAACGTTAGCAAACTAATGACATTATGGACCGTCCACTACAAGTGACCTATGGAGGATGCCACACTTCTCAGAATCTCAGGATTTCACCCGTTCATTGCAAGTAGTGTGTTAAAACAGAATGACTGCCACATATTCGTTGTGTCAATAAACCAGCTATGATAGAGCCAGAGCATCTATCTACCTTAATGGACCTGCCCCCAAGTTTCAGTAAACTTTCAGAGAAAAGAAAATGCTATTTCTTAAAAGGACTAACACATAAACATCAATGAACACTGAACGCCTTCAGTGGTGATCGTGACGATAGTGTTTGTGGTGTGTGTTTGTGTGTGTTTGCTCGTGTGTGTTGTGTGTGTGCGTGTGCGTGCGTGCGCGAGCCACCTGATGACCTACGATGTCAAAAAACGTCATACATGGAATTGACTCTGCCCTTTGTGGTTTGATTTATGTGTAGGATAAAATGTATTCGAGGGATTTTGGAGATTTAAAACCCTTTAAGCCCGAGGGTTACGGGTTTTAAATCTCATAAAAACCCGAGGGGAAATGTTTTATCTAGTTTATAAACCGAATATCATTTTTAAACAAGTATATTTTAGTGTTTTTGGTAATCGAAAAAGATATGGCTTCGTTATATCATGTTGAGTGTCCCAACCAGCGCACGTTATGCACGTGCAGAATGTGCATAAAACAGAGAATCACGTGGTGTTCTGTCACATTTTTGTTGGACAGCGGTAGTAGCAGTTAGTCAAAATGAGAGTCGAACATTTTTGAGGATGATGAATTTAAAGCAGCCAGAAATAGTTTAGATGCAAGCATGAGGCGCCCTTCTAAATGTGGTTTGGGAGCTGCAAGTAGGAAGAAAACGGACGTCATTTCGACAGAGGAGGAGGAGGAGTGTTTGTGGGAGCAAGGCAGTCTTGGAGAGGACAATCCAAAACAACTTTTGGATACAGCACTCTATCTCTCATGTAGGTTTTAGAATGATTTCAGTACAACAGTTAACATTTTGAGGTGAATGATTAACCATCGAACAGTCTACATGTTATTAATTGCTTTATATATAAATGCCACTAAAATGCACAACAACTTTAGGTGTCTTTGTTTTTTAGTTTGGCGATCGTTCATTATCCTAGCTACTATGCAGGTGATCCGTATCTAAAAAATAAGTTTATGTTCTACTTGTTTCAGGCCTTCATTTTGCTCAGAGGGGAGGCAAGGAACACCGAGATTTAAGATTGTGGAACAACCCCCAAATCACTGGCCCACATCTTGATGCGCGAGGACATCGTTATTTGCTGTATAAAGAGGATAGCAGTAAAACGAATCAAGGCGGCACCAACTACCGAAAAACTACACCGAAGGAAGTGTGGGCATATGAAAACGGAAACAAGGATAGATGTTTTTTCAGGCTGTTTCAGAAGTACAAGTCTGTGTGGTAGGTAATCTTGATTCTTCAAAACCCTTGCATGCTGACATTTATGATAATTGAAATATAGGTTGAGACTAAGTTTGAATCTGTCATGTTCCAGCACTGCCGGAAAGGACATCTGACATCTTTTCGTTTAAGAAAACCTACTCCTGGCAATTGGTTCACGAAATGTCCAATGGGGTACAACACCCTACAGGGCACTATCAAGCGATTGTGTGAAGCAAGTGGGATAAGAGGCAAAAAAAATCACTCCCTGCGAGCTACGGCGCCCTTGCGACTATTCCAGGCTAACGTGGAAGAGAAACTCATCTGCAATCTAACAGTTTCGTTACTGATACCAAAAACTGATCCTCTTAATCACATTGTCGTCTTTTTGTAGTCAAATATTTGTGTCAATTGCAATCGATAATCTAATATTCCGGGGATTTCCATACAAAAAAACAACATAAAAAACTTAAAGAGAAGTAATCTTCTGCCATGACGTCACATGAGGTTTATAAGTTGGGGAAACAAAGCAGGGATTATCGACACGAGTCAGCCATCATGGATCAGATATCAGTAGAATTGTTCCCGACTGTGTCTGCCAATGTTGTATTCTGAAAATCATTCCATCCAAAGTTCATATATGAGGGGAGATTACAGCGAAGTGAGAAAGTGTGTTGCAGAGGTATTTAGTAAGTGTAGAATCCTTATATATTGAAGTCAGTGAAGCCAGACGCAGGAATAATTTTGATCAACAAACATACATGTATAATTAGAAGAACATATCCAATTTATTCAAGAAGAGTTGTCACTCAGCAAACAGTTACGATTGTTTTCTTACCAGTCCAATTACTCTATCTGGCATATTTCTCCCAGCCAAATCATGCAGAACATTCAGAGGTTGATGTGCCTGTATACAAACATTGCAGTTATTTACTTCAAAATAAATGATGAAAACCTCAGTTTTCACCAAGACATAATAAAAGATAGAAGAAAAAAGTTTTTAATGAGAAATTAAACTGTCAAAAAATGTTCTAACACCTTGAATTATCACTATTTCAAGATGGTTCGGATGACTTGTCATGTCCCAAACATCTGATAAATTAATGGAAGAATGGTAGAGACGGCAAAATTTAATAATGCCACTCATATGTTATAAAAATTAGCATTATTATAACATTCATTTGAATTGAAATATTGTGAAATCATGAAAACGGTTCACATGGGTTCGTCCTAGAAAGAAGAAAGCATTAGAAAAAGTCCAATGACAGCTTTATGAATCATGTCCAATCATAGAATCTATTTGTGATTATGTGTTCATTCAGTACATTTTATTTGTAGAATGCATCATTTTTCTGTATTATGTATGTCATTGTACACCTTTACAAGAATATTCTAACACTTACCGCTTCATGGAGTCTGACACCAGTATAGGTGAGAGCGATGAGATGAGTAATGGACGAACCCACAGCAAATGAGGTGACGGCCAGGTTCATATAAGTCTTGTCATCGTTGATGATGTTGTACAGACAGAAACACACAGCGAGGAAGGAGCTGACGTAGCCAGCAGCCACGTGTCTGGACATGAGGGAACACACATGTTCCACCAGATCTGTTAAGGATTCATGGTAACCTCGAATGTCCTCAATATCCTCTTCTTTGACGGACCCTTCAGATGCCCTAGTCAGTCTCAGTGTGCAAGTATCATACTCATAAGTAAGAAGGAGGGAGATGGACAAGAACAGAAGCAACATGGAATGGCTTAGCAGTGTCATATAGCCACCAACTATCGACGTCAAAACGAGTGACGACCAAAAGAAATAACTGGACGTATCTTCCATCAAGTTCACGATTATGCCATTGGCGAAACAGATAAATGCCGCGAGAAGCCCGATGCATACACATGCCCTCTTCACTCTCTGCTTCAGTGTCCTTGCTGAAACACAACTGTCAAAGTTCAACCGCACTTCTTGGAGCCGTTCACAGATTATGCGAACCTTGCTGTGGATATTGGTAATACGACCCCAATACGTCACACATAACAAAGATGAAATGTTACTAGCTAAGACAAGACTGATGTCCATGAACGATTCAGCTTTCGTATAGTATGGAATCATCTGGATAAAATACAGAATGTAAAATATGCAAACCAAACTTGCATATATCCGGGAAGCTACCAAATAGACGTTACACCTGTTGGCGGACCTCGGCTGCTGATAGTCCCATGATAACCCGGACAGTGCTATCAGTTTCTGGATACTTGTCAATGTGTCCTGTACATCATCAGTTTCACTGGATGAACCAACGGTATTTCTGAAAATCTTCAACATCTTCGACAGCTTATGAAATAAATAATCGTTGTTTTTGCTTTGTAGGCTAGGCCTTCAGTTCGGTCTGTTCTCCACTAAGTCTCACCAGTATTTGAAGGAGTAGTTTTAATGAAGATGAATTGATATTTGTGTTGAGAGTGATTGCTTACCTTGGCTGTAAAAAACCGATTAATCAATCAGTCAAGTTACCTGGCATAATTATTTCTTGTCAAACATTTCCTCACTTCTTCTAATTAAGCCTAAAATCCTTTAGCTGTGTTTGCTTTAACAAACCGGTAATATCATCCTCATTGAAAGTGTTCTGACAGTAGGACAACAAACATGAAGATCAATTCTTAACATAGCAGGGAAGATATGAAAACAACAAAATGGTATGAGATACTGCTACTAGTTATAGTTGTGTGATAATAATGAACGTGTTGGAAAGTTGCACTGTATCACAGTATACGTTATGACCGTAAACGATCTTCAAGAACGATAGGGGTAAGATAGGAAATTTCAAAGTTAATGGTAACTAATGTTAGCAGCGTGTTTTGCCGCTTCGATCTTCTAAACATTCATTATTCCAGTGGCGATCAGCCCTGTTTCACATGCAGCCTCCGATCACGTTTAGCCGACATGGTCCCGTATGATTGACTGATTGGCCGTGGTATTATTGTATGGATGGTGTACGGTTCAGACACAATATCCATATCACACGGTTGAAAATGTGTGTATGTCTACTTGAAACTTGGTATGGGGAACAAAAATATAATTTGAAAAAATCCCCTCACACATACTTGCAGGTTTCAATTACAGGATAGTTTAATTATTCAATTAATTGCTATCGTTCGTGGACTTGCTCTTGGGATGAAGTTCGTTAGTGTAAACAAGTGGATACCATTTAACTTTTCAAGGTTATTAGGAGTAAGCACTATACAGGTAGGGTCCTACAGAAATTCGAGAGTCGGTGCACAACACTTTAGGCAATGTTTACTGAGAGGCACAAGCTCGGCTGTTTGCACGGCGACGGTGGTGTTGGATAACGTGATTTCGTTCTGTCGTAATCTGGAATAAAGTCATATAGTAATGATCGGTGTATATCGCACCATTGAAATTTACGACGTGGACGCAAGTGCTCTGCTTCCATTCTTTCCACCAGCTTTACTCTGACAAAGCTCACATTCACAACATGGTGTTCAGCAAAATAAAGTTTCACATTACACCAGAATGTTGTCATTTCAGGTGTGTCACAGGCACACAATATATCGGATGAAGTAAACACTGTGTGACATGAACTAAACATCATGAACTTCATGCGATATACTGTGTACCTCTGATGTAGTGTATACCCGACGTGATATACTGTACATCACATGTACACAGTATATCTCATAAAGTATACACTACATCACACGTACACAGTATATCTCATGAAGTACACACTACATCAGAGGTGCACAGTATATCGCATGACGTACACACTACATCACACGTACACAGTATATCTCATATAGTATACACTACATCACAGGTGCACAGAATATCTCATGAAGTACACACTACATCACAAGTGCACAGTATATCGCATGACGTATACACTACATCACAGGTGCACAGTATATCTCATGAAGTACACACTTCATCACAGGTGCACAGTATATCGCATGAAGTATACACTACACCAGAGGTACACAGTTTATCTCATGAATTATACACTATATCAGAGGTACTCAGTATATCGCATGAAGTATACAGTACATCACAGGTGCACAGTATATCTCATGAAGTATACACTACATCAGAGGTACACAGTTTATCTCATGAATTATACACTATATCAGAGGTACTCAGTATATCGCATGAAGTATACAGTACATCACAGGTGCACAGTATATCTCATGAAGTATACACTACATCAGAGGTACACAGTTTATCTCATGAATTATACACTATATCAGAGGTACTCAGTATATCGCATGAAGTATACAGTACATCACAGGTGCACAGTATATCTCATGAAGTATACACTACATCACAGGTGCACAGTATATCGCATGAAGATATACACTACATCACAGGTGCACATAATATCTCATGAAGTATACACTACATTACATGTACACAGTATATCGCATGAAGTATACAGTACATCACAGGTGCACAGTATATCTCATGAAGTATACAGTACATCACAGGTGGACAGTATATATCATGAAGTATATATTACATCACAGGTACACAGTATATCTCAAGAAGGATACACTACATCACAGGTTCACAGTATTTTCATGAAGTATACACTACACCACACGTGCACAGTATATCTCATGAAGTATACACTATATCACAGGTGCACAGTATATCTCATAAAGTATACACTACAACAGAAGCACACAGGTTATCACATAAAGTATACACTACATCAGAGGTACACATAAAGTATACATTATATCACAGGTGCACAGTATATCTCATAAAGTACACACTACATCACAGGTGCACAGTATATCTCATGAAGTATACACTACAACAGAAGCACACAGGTACAGTATATATCATGAAGTAGGTACACTACACCATACACGTGCACAGTATATCTCATGAAAAGTATACACTATATCACAGGTGCACAGTATATCTCATGAAGTATACACTACAACAGAAGCACACAGGTTATCACATAAAGTATACACTACATCAGAGGTACACATAAAGTATACATTATATCACAGGTGCACAGTATATCTCATAAAGTACACACTACATCACAGGTGCACAGTATATCTCATGAAGTATACACTACATCACAGGTGGACAGTATATATCATGAAGTATACACTACACCACACGTACACAGTATATCTCATGAAGTATACACTATATCACAGGTGCACAGTATATCTCATGAACTATACACTACATCAGAAGCACACAGGTTATCACATAAAGTATACACTACATCAGAGGTACACATAAAGTATACATTATATCACAGGTGCACAGTATATCTCAAGAAGTATACAGTACATCACAGGTTCACAGTATTTTCATGAAGTATATACTACACCACTCGTACACAGTATATCTCATGAAGTATACACTATATCACAGGTGCACAGTATATCTCAGAAAGTACACACTACATCACAGGTGCACAGTATATATCATGAAGTATACACTACATCACAGGTGGACAGTATATATCATGAAGTATACACTACACCACACGTACACAGTATATCTCATGAAGTATACACTATATCACAGGTGCACAGTATATCTCATGAAGTATACCCTACATCAGAACCACACAGTTTATCACATAAAGTATACACTACATCAGAGGTACACATAACGTATACATTATATCACAGGTGCACAGTATATCTCATAAAGTATATACTACATCACACGTACACAGTATATCTCATAAAGTATACACTACATCACAGGTGCACAGTATATCTCATGAAGTATACACTACATCACAGGTGCACAGTATATTTCATGAAGTATACACTACATCACAGGTGCACAGTATATCGCATGAAGTATACACTACATCACTGGTGCACATAATATCTCATGAAGTATACACTACATCACAGGTGCACAGTATATCGCATGA